CTGTATCTTTCGCGAAGAGCTGGAACAAGGTCGGTCGTTCAGAGTGCCCTCCTCTTAGTACCTTTTTCATCTGTATCTTTCGCGAAGAGCTGGAACAAGGGTGGTCGTTCAGAGTGCCATCCTCTTAGTACCTTTTTCATCTGTATCTTTCGCGAAGAGCTGGAACAAGGGTGGTCGTTCAGAGTGCCATCCTCTTAGTACCTCTTTCATCTGTGGTTCGTTCGAGTGCTCCTCTTACTACCTTTTTCATCTGTATCTTTCGCGAAGAGCTGGAACAAGGGTGGTCGTTCAGAGTGCCCACTTCCTCTTCCTCCTTCCTTTTTTCATCTGTAGTCTTCCCAGATCTCAAGTTTTTGGGAGAGAAACCATTTTCCCGGAATTCAGTGATGATTCTTCTTATTGCAATTTCAGCTTGTCTTCCGTCTATCTTGAAAAAAAAGATTTGAAAAAAAAAGAAAATAGATCAGTTTGGCAGCCTCATTTTCATCTTGGATTTGTCATATGTAATTATTATGGTAAGTGGCATCGGGTCTATTTTCTTTCTTATTTAGCATATATTAGGATTATCCGCGAAATACTTATTCAGGAATCTATGAATATTAATCAGCGTAAAGAGATGCTTCCCCTTTCTGCAACCCTAATTCAGTGTGAACAAACAAGCGTTCAAATAACTTCACACACATAAAAATCATTTCTATCACAAACATATCAAATATATCAGCTTTGATTTTGGAGTAAAGGTTTGGAATGCTAATTTCATCTACAACTGTAAACAGATGTGCACTGACAAATAAAAGGAAATATAAAAAATAGATACATGACAAATACAAGCAGAGAACGAGAAGTTCCTATTCCATCAGAATTATTTCATATAGCACATGTTCTGAGAGTCGGTTCTAAGACTTTGGATATTAACTACTGTAGGAACCTCCCACCTAGTAGTTGTTCCAGTTGGAACAAGAAACGTATTTTCTCGTTCAGCTGTTCAAATGTGGATGTGTTTGGTTCTGTCGAGAAGAATAAAAAACTAATTTCATCAGTTATATTAACCGCTAGTAGATAGTGCAGCTACGAGAAGTATTTACAAAGGTTTCAGCGTTATTACAGACTTCATTGCTTTAACTGCCATACACACATGTTTAAAGGGATTTTCAGGTTTAAATAGAAAATCTGGTATAAGTGATACGGGTTGTGTTGAAAGAATGGAGAAATGCCGCCTCACCTCTATAGGGGTTGCTTTTTTGATAAACATTTCTAGGAAACAGCATTTAATAAAATATCCCACTACAAAGTCAACGGTAACATTAACTGCATGTTTTATCACTTACTGGAAGAAAATGAAAGATCAAATGACTTATGTAGATTCCAAAAATAAGCATTAATACACATTGGTTATTCATATTCTACCAATCACACTCTTAGTTGCAAACAACCTTGGGGTTTCAACTCAGAAAAATACTATTGTGGCAGTGTGAGGATGATTTCAGAGACTTCGTCAGGAAGGTAGCACAGGCGTGAGTAGTCAGCACGACGTCCTAGGGCAGACATGGTGCGGATAGGCATGGGTCAGAAAGCGATGGCTGGGTGTTAAGGGAGGCGAGGAGGCACAGCGAAAGGAGACTTGTCTTGGCCAGAGGGTTCGTTGAATTGTGCTGCGAGTTTTGTGAGTTTCGACGATCACTTGCCACCAGATCTGAAGGTAGAGGGTGGCATTTTGAAGGTGAATGAAAGGAGTCTTGGATTATGTTTTTTTCTGCCTTCTCTTCTCTTTTTTGACGAGATGTGTCCTTTTATGCGGCGGGTACGCTTGTAAGCAGGTGCTTGCTCACGTGTCTTTTCCCTTCGTAAATCCATATTGTCCATATGCAATCTATCCCATCAATTTTTATTTAAACTTTTCTGCAATTATTGTTTAGAGAATTTTACTGCAATGTGATGCAAGTGCTATTCAGTTATTTGTGCATTCTAGACCATCTCTTTTTTCGGGAGTGAAATAGATATGGACGGTGACAAGTTCTTCTGTCGTCATTTGATTCCCCGATGGCAGTGTATAGTTTGTAAGGGGAAAATACCACATCTTATCTGCCATTCTTCATCCCTGTTGGTAATATATCAAATACTGCGCTTTTGCAATTTTTGATGTTATTGATGCTTTTTGAATTCCAGAAAGTAGAGATGGTTTGTTCTATTTCGAATGTGGGTGGTTCTATTTCGAATGTGGCAGATTCTGGAGCGATTGTTATGTGGGGTTTCTCTTTATATACAGATTCACAAGAAGATTTCTATCTACTTTTTATATCTGACCGAACACAGCATATGTTTCCCTTTTCATCTTTTCCTGTGTCAATTACTGGTTTCCATTGTCTTGTCTTTTTTGTCTTATTTTACCCCTTGATCTTTTGTTGAATTGGCCATTGATTGTTATTGGAATCTATCACTCAATTCCTTTCTGTATTTTTTTCCATCTCTGAATCTTCAGGCTTTTAGCTTGCGTCTCTTTCTATCTCATCTCTTGAATCTTCTGTTAGTCTTCTTTGAATGTCATTCATTGTGCTTTGGTTTTTAGCTTGCGTCTCTTTCAGTTATGTTTTCATCTGTTATCCAGTTTTGTGTTTTCTTTTTCTTGATATTTTTACTCACAATATTTCATTTATTACTTTTGTTGTTTTTTCCATAGTTCGTTTTTTTTTTCTTCTCCACACTTCCAAAGGATTTTATTTTATTTTTTTTTTTTTTTTCACGCGAACTCTGTAGCTCCTGTTGATCGTCTGTTAAGTCTAATCGCTGTGGTGTTTTGTCTCATCCTCTTCAGACTTATGTGGAGTATTAAGCTCGCCCTGTGGGATTGCCTTGGTGTTTTTAGGCCGCTTTTCCATTTATATGAGATGGTAATGGACTCGGTCTGATTTCGGATTTTTCCTTCCAAGTGTTTAGACGCATGGGGCGAAGGGTTTTTAATGGGTGTTATGTCTTGATGCTTTGCTTTGCTGGACTCTCTCTCTCTCTCGCTCTCTCTCTCTCTCTCTCTCTCTCTCTCTCTCTCTCTCTCTCTCTCTCTCTCTCTCTCTGTATTTGTGTGTGTCTGTGTATATATATATATGCGTGTGTGTGTGTGTGTGTGCATGCATGAGTGTGCGTGTGATTGCACCAGAACCCCAAAATTGCAAGCAAACAGTGACATAAACAGAAACACACAGCCCAGCGTCCAAACAAACAACAAACTACACCTATCCACAACACCCCCCCCCTCCCTTCCACCCCCCACACACACATTAACACCCGCAGACACATGTAACACTACATGACTCCTTATCTATGCCTGCCAGTCTAAAATAACCTTCACACAGCACCTTACACCTTTCGCCACCGCCTCGCAATGGCTTTCAGATGGGGTCGGGAAGGCGTGGCGGAGAGCAGGCGTCCAGATGGCAAGGCACGGCGATCCGAATTCGAAAAGAATAGGAGGACGAAGGAGAAAAGGGAGAAGGAGGAGGGAGGAGGAGGAGAGAAGGAAGAAGAAGGAGGGGAGGAGGAGAGAAGGAGAAAGAAGGAAGAGGGCGATAAATAAGGGGAGGACGAAGTAGAAAAGGGAGAAGAAGGAGGACAAGAAGTAAGTGGGAGTAGGAAGAAGAAGGAAGACGAGAAGTAGAAGAGGAAGAGGAGCAGAGGAGGAAGAAGAAGAAGGACGACGAGAAGTAAAATGGAGAGGAGGAGAAGAAGGGAATTGTTGAGGAAGAAAGAGAGATTAAAAAAAGAAGAAAAAGAGAGAGAGAGAGAGAGAGAGAGAGAACTAAGGGAGGAGAGAGAAGGAAAACGAAGCGGGAGAACGAGAAGCAAAAGGGAGGAGGAGAAAGAGAAAGATGGAAGAGAGGAAGAAAGAGAATAAGGAAAAAAGAAAGATGAAGAAAGGAAAAGGGACATGTAAACGACGAAGGAAACGATAATGACGAGGAAGAAGAAAGACGAGAGAGAGAGAGAGAAAAAAAAAAGACAAATTCATATAGATATCCACGGAGAGAGAAATATATCTCCACCACAGTACTACAAGCAGAGAGAGAGAGAAAAAAAAAAAACAGGGATCTCATCTGTCTTTTACGAGGCGCGAATTAGTTACACCACCACAGTACTGCAAAGCGATATGGCGACCGTGGGAGGGGCTCTTCGCAGAATTTCCTAATGGTGGCTGAGCCTGGGTTCTGTGCGGTATTTGTACTGGTGTTATTCTTGCGTCGGTCGCTGCACGGTGAAATTAACACGTTTAGCGAGCCTGTATTAATTAACAGGGTTCTCTCGCCGGCCTGGGGAGAATTAGCGGTGACGATAACCCGGGAGATTTTTTAGATTTCTGGGTCTTTTTCATTTTTTATTTTTTTCCTTCGTGTTGCGAAAGGTATATACAAAACAATGAATAAAATAGAATAAGGTGAATTAAAAAAAAAAGGCCTGAGAGTTACAACCACACAGATTCAAGCAAAACCTGAGGAAAATCAATAAAAGAAATATAAAAAAAATATGTGACAGCACCAGAAAAAAAAATCTAGTTACCCCTTCGGACGAAACGAAACCCTCTTCCTAACAGGATCAAATCTCGTTCGTTTTTAGGACTCACTTTGCCCTTTCATGCGTGTCCGTGTATCAGCCATGCACCCGGAATCACATGCTATTCCTCCTACCATGCATTTCCTTCATTTAAGAGACATTTCGACAATCTACATTTTGCAAAAGATGCGAAATCGTACCGCATATTGGTCATTAGCCTTTTTCTCTCTCGCCAAATTAAGTATGAGAAAGTCACGCTCATTCCCTCTCCGAGATGCTGTGAAAGTCACGAGAGATGCTGCGAAAGTCACGCCCATTCCCTCTCCGAGATGCTGCGAAAGTCACGCCCATTCCCTCTCCGAGATGCTGTGAAAGTCACGCTCATTCCCTCTCCGAGATGCTGTGAAAGTCACGCTCATTCCCTCTCCGAGATGCTGTGAAAGTCACGCTCATTCCCTCTC